ATTATCGAATATGCTTAAAGCATTACAATTATTATATTTAAAGGCTAAAAAGCCTCAAATATCTGATGAAAATTTTTTAGAAATTTTACAAATATTTGACTGTAATGGCCCAACATTATATTCGACAAAACAAACTCTTCAAAAGCTAGTTAATATTAATATACACTATAGGTGCAGAAAATTGAGGACATGTGGTTACGTTAAAAAGATGAGCAGTGGCGTCAAAAGTGCTATAACTAACGTATGTCATAATAGCCGACATTTGTTGTAACTAAGTTTTTGGTCATAAACTGTGATAATGGACATGATGCAGGATTAATATACGTGATTTAAGCATGATATAAGTAATTTAGCTTAGTAAATGCAATTTAACTTTCTTGAAAAATAAAATAAAATCAATTGAACAAAAATAATTTTTTTTTTTTAAAAAAAAAAAGCCAACAAATTAAAGTTATAAATAAATTATATAAATAGCCAATATGCTTTTGATTGATGAAATAGATTCTAGTAATTCTATGCCATTAGAGCCTTGTGCTGATGTTACTTCACCATCTGAATCTGAAACTAGCAATGATCGATCTCAAAAAAGAAATAGATAAGGTAGGCCAGTTTTCAATAAAGTATGGGACTATGTTATTAGGTGTGAAAAAGTAAATCTAGGACACTATAAAGCAGAATGTTATCGCTGTGAAAAAGTCTAGCAAAGAGGTAAATCTTGTATTTTAAGGTCTCACCTAGCACTTCATTGCAAAAATGTTCCAGAGGATATCCGACGATATTGGCATAATAAGCTTATAGAGGTTGATAATGCCAATAAAAGAAATTCACAATCACAATTGGTTTTACCACCACAAGTTAGCATTAGTTACGATGAGAATCTTTTAAGAGCATGGGTATGGCAAATATCCTGTTTGAAGTAATTGAAAATCCTTACATTAAGAATCTTTTTAAAAGTCTTAACCCTGCATATGTATTGCCATCTTATACAACTTTATCTGGGAGATTACTTGATGAAGAGTTTGCACAAATACAAATTAATATTAATAATGATTTAGAGCATGCAAAACATTTAACTTTAAGTATGTCATAATTGTAATTTATAATTAAAAAATTTTTTTAAAAAAAAATTTTTATAAAAATTTTCTTATTAAAATAGCACTTGACAGATAGACATCAAAACGTGGAGAATCGTTATATAATTATATTGTAATAACTATGGATCGAAAGGAATATCTGATTTCTTTACGCAATTATTCAGCAGAATCTCACACTAGCAATTTTATTGCTTTCGAAATCATGGATATTATTGAAAAAATTGGACCTCAAAAATTTGCCGCCATTATCACTGATTCTGCAGCAAATCTCAAATCAGCTAGAGAAAAAATTCAAACCAAGTATCCGCACATATTAAATATCAGGTGTATAGCCCATGCCATTAACTTAATCGTGATGGATTTATCAAAAATTCATGAAATCAAGATATTTATTGATCAATATGGAAAAATTATCAAGCACTTTACAAAATCAACTCAAAAATTAGCATTATTAAGGCAAGGGTTATCAAATATGAATCTTAAGGTTTAGAATTGTGGTGTCCAACATGTTGGGAGTCGTTATACAACACTACTAATTCAATATTGCTTGCATGACCTGTTTTTGACTGGGTAATTTTTTATTATACATATTATTTATTATTAATAAATAAATATACAATTAATTTGCTATATTGTTTTTATAAATTCTTCTTGAATATTTACGCATAATTACAAATACAGAAGTTTTTAATTTATTAAGTAATGAAGATTTCTTTATCACATGCCGACAAATTCGATCAATATAGAAACTGATAAAAGTCTGTATTAATGTTTTAGAAGTGGGTTCAGCAAATTTAGCTGACTGTTACATTAACTTAATAAAGTTAGCTGTAACAATTTATCAAATTCCTGAAATTAACCTGTTTAAACCTGCTGCTATCCAAATATTCAATCGTCGTTATGCAGAATTTCAACATCTCTTATATCTTTTAAGCTATTATCTCTATCTATATTACCGCGGTAATGAATTATAGATTAATT